AAACAGACAAATCAATAAGACAGATGATGTTCAGTTGGCTGCAACTTCTGTTCAAATCTTAATTCTGAACTGGTGAAGATCTTGTTTTTAAGCTTAAAATCCGTGTGTAACACAAACAATTTTCTAATCAGTGCTTGTTTGCTTTGATAAATATCTGATTTATGTGTCACCACTTTGTTTTGACTACATTTCTCAAAAGAGAATCTGCTCAGGGAATACTCACAGAATGATCACGAAATTCTGTTTTGCCTGAGCTTTGGGCGCCTAACCAGACGTCCTCAGCCAATGTTGGTGAAAGCCAGGGAATCAAATCCCACATGAAAACAGTATCAAGTACAAGTCGTACAAATGGATCCAAAAACTGTGGATACAGACGAGGTTAATTCTTCTGTTACAAAATAATACCCAGTGTAATTCCTGTTCTTTCTGTAGAACCCTTTGTGGTTATAGCAAAACTGTTGAGTGAGAAAATACAGAGGGTTGGGACAAATAGGACGCAGTGAAGGAGACAAATGAGGAAATTACATTGTTTTGTGTGTCTGTCCGTGTGTGTGTGTGTGTATGTGGTTTGAGGAGTGATTGATGAACTACTATAGCAAGGGTGACGAAACAACAGACAAACAATTTGCATTTTGATCTTCCGATCGATAAATAAATAGCCAGATAGACAATGTCGAAACAGAGATGATCGTAGCAATGGAACGTAAAAAAAAGTAATTTTTGCACAAACCTCTGAACTGTCGAATCATGCTCTGGTGCTTCTCCACGGCCTCCTGCAGGATTTTCTCTGCTGGGTCCATCTTCCAGCGCCACTCTGTGCCCACTGGGTTGGTGTGATGTCTGTTAGTGGCGCAGACAAATACACAGATTAAAAAAAATATGTTTTGTTATCTCAGCTACACACTGGTGGTATTTACAGGTTTGTAGCCCTTATTGTTACATAACAGAGGCTGAACTAAGCATCAACTGGCAGCCGGTATCTCTCTTGATGTATTTATCTGATTGAGACAGATTCGGGTCATTAAACTGGAGTCATTTAACACAGTTAATAAACATATATTCACAATCTGAAAGTGAAACAAACTGGTCATGTGAATTCTCACCCTATAAAAATCCATAAAGTGAAAGAATCCATCCTACTCTAAAAATTGCACCTCCTCAAGTGTTAATGACACCTATTCACTGTACAAGTGTGATGTCTGGGTGCAAAAACTAATCCTGAGGCATAACAAATTTCAGACAGTCTGTTGCGTGCATATGCACACACACCACACGTTCTGGCCTTGTCCCTCACAGTCACTTCCACCTGTTGTTGCACAGAGACGGATGGCAAGGGCAGCAGCAACGATACATCTGTGCCCTGAAACTGCTGACTCCCCGTCATCTCACATATCTGCCTACAGAGAGACTGGCATATCTGTGTCGACAGGGAAGCGGTTCACCGCAGCACATTCTGACAGCGACCTTTCACTGCTCAACCTAAAACTCGCCTTTTCAAATGGATCTTGAGGGGTGGAGAGGGCCCAGTCTCTCACCAGTGTCATGATGAATCAATGTCCACCTTTAGGCCTCGCAGTTATGCTCGCCATTCGTCTTCTGCACATTAATAATAAACTTGTGTGCCACAAAGAGAACATTGCTCAGTGATGCTTCATGACATAAAGTTTACCTCTTTTCTAAACATGAAAACTAAAAATTCAGAAAAGCCCCTCACAGTTGTGTCAGCATCAGCATTGATGAAGGCTGTCGAAAAAGGACAAGAAGCTCATCAGACTGTCTGAAGTCGTTTGCCTCGTGATCCAGCAGGGGCAGCACTTAACATCAACTTGACCTACTGTGTGCACTCTTATATCAGTTAAGCAAATCAGTAATGTTATGTTGTTTTGCAATGAAAAAAGGATGAGGATGCTAGTAAGCAATGACGACATGTACCATGCAACAGCCTTGCTCTTCAAAATAAATCAGCTGTGGTGGAGCGACATCAAGTCTTCAACTTCACCTGATTGCATGCATGCACACGCAATTGCTAAGAATTGTATGACATTTCAAATTTGCTCAAACTTTTGGGAATATAACTGAGAATTTATGCTTTCCAATGGGGAGTAAAGTCAGTCCAGCTCTACTAATATCACTCAAATGTGATAAAACAGATTCCCTGGTAGTCTGTGGTGGATTTATGTGTAGGGTTCATACCTCCAGCAGAAGACACACTTGTTAGCACAGGCGAGGCTGGGGGTCGTTTCCATGCAGCGGTGGGACTCGATTCCATAGAAAGTGTGTTTGTAGCAGCCTCCTCTCCCTCGCAACATAGACTAAAAACAGAAGAGACACAGTCAATGAAAATCATACAGTATGTAAGTTTGTGGAATGCTCTATTATGAAGAGTTGAATCTGATACCTTGGTCCATCGACAAAGCTTCACTCCTGAGTGACTTCCAATTAGTTTGTAGCCTGCATAGAAAGAAAAACAGCATGTGAGGAGATAAAAATCACAATCAGTAAGCACGACTTCCACACAA